CAGAGACAAAGATCACAGTTCAGATTCTATCTGTGCCACTTCCTCGCTTCGGAAGTAATTTAACATCTCTACATTATCATCTGCGAAATGGGGCTCATACCGCCTGCCTCATGGGCTGATCAGATGAGATAATACATCACAAAGATTAGGGCCAGGTTAGGTTTACCATTATTAGTTAACTATTGTGATGTGTGACAAGTGCTAAGATAGATTTCTGTGCAAAGTGCTGTAGACTCTGGATCTGCAGCCTGGGGAAAAAATCTGAGACCAAGGGGCCCATATGGCCCTCTGAGTATCCTAAATCGAGGGAGCCTACTGTTAGGACCAAAAGTCACTTCTTAAAGCAAGAAGACAGGTCATGCCTAGTCTATGCTTCTATTCACAGCATCATTTGCTTGGTATGATAGGATAGTGGTTAGGACAATAGACTTTGAAGTCCAACGGATTTGTACTTAAAAATCAGTTCTGCCACTCAAAACTGTATCACTTTGGGCAAGCTGTGTACCTGGTCTGAGCTGTAATTTTTTCATCTTTAATATAGAGCTAATAATACCCTCATGTATGATTATTATGGAGGTCAAATAGAAAATGTTCGTAAAATCCTTAGTGCAATCCTTTGACATTTAATAAGCATTCAGTAAATGGAAGTTATAATTATTAATATTAACCATAATAACAAAGAAACAGTTATTTGCTGTTATTTCACTTTTATTAAATGGGGACGGTGAATTGGATAATCTCCAGAGTTCTTTACAGCCCTGAAATTCTGTAACCTAGGGTCCCCAGCCAGTGAGAAAAAGCGGAAAGGGAATGCAAGGGTTAACCCCCTTTGCAGAGTCCTGCCTGGTTCCCATTGCCCAGAGGGGGCCTTGTCAGGAGGAAACCGCTGATTCCTGCCTGCTTCTGAGCCAGAGGGAAGAGGAAGCCACCACCCTTCTCTGGCTCCAGTGGCTTGCAGAGAGACAAGCCCGGGCTAGTGACCAAAGAGCAGCAAAGGCACTGGGAGAGAGGTGACAGTAGGCGGGACCAGGGCCTCAAAGAACAGCCCCTCATCAGCCCCCCTGCCCCACCCCTGAAAATCACACTCATCTGGTGCAAACTTTACAGTATGGTGGGCTGGGAAGCTGTAAGAAGAGCCACTTAAAATCCTTATCACCTAAGGAGTCCCAGACCTGGGCATCCAGAAATCTTTGGTGGCCTTGGAGAGGGTTAAGGATTGGTGAGAGAAGCTGTGGTCCCAGGGCTTAATTTTAACATAGTCTCTGGACTAGCATGGAGCTCTCAGATGAAGGACTTGAGCTTTGCCCCTACAAAAAGGATAAGGAAGAGGGCTGTCACTCATTGAGTGGAAGCTACGTACTGAAGACTGAGCTGGGCAATTTAAGTGTCATCTCATTTGATCTCATTTGATCCTCAGTATAACCCTATGAAGCAAAGAGGATCACCCCCCTTTAGCAGATGGAAAAACAAAGGCTCACAAAGATGAAGTCAATTGCTTAAATCGACACAGCTATAAATGACCAAGCAGGGGTTTGAGTTCAGTTCAGCCCATATGACTTCTGAGTCCAAGCTCTTTTTGTTTAGCCATGCTGCTGCTAAGGAAAGCCATAGTTCAAGCTGTCACCATTTGGGCAAAGATAAAGGGGCTTCCGATGTCTGGAAACACCTGACAATTTAGAGAAGAGAGAAAGAAATACCAGCCAACTCCAGGGGCTCAGGAAAAAAAAAAAAACCCAAAAAACAAAAACAAAAACTCAAAAAACCATTTCCCTTACAGTTCTGGAGATTCTAGAATCAGGAACGATAAAGAGAAATCCACAATCACTGGCAAGGTATTTTGCTTCTGTCGTCATTACTCAGAAACTGGCTTGGGCTATGCCTGTGCCCAGACTCTGCAGCTTTACCAGCCCTTTTGTGGAAAGGAAGCTAAAGCCTTGAAACAAGAACTTTCAGGACTAAAGAAAGCTTGACCATCACCTGGTCTAATACTTTCACTTTATAGATGAGAAAACTGAGGCTCAGAGAGGGCCCATGACATACCAAAGTCACATGGCTAATTAGTGGTAGAAACAGGACCACAATGTAGATTTCTTGTGTCTTACCAGGGTACCTGCTGCCTATGGTGTAGGGATGAGAAAGGAAAGTGGAAAACCTAAAAAGTGGTAACTGATTCCTGCAACCTGACTTTCTAGGGAACTAGACATTTCCATCATTCGGTCTAGTGATGTGCTCATAAATATTAAATGTCTGGTTCTCTTCAGGCAGTCCGGGTGGGTTGGGGACACTTAATTAGAAGCATTAGCCAATTTTCCTGGTGCAAATACTCCCACCACAGCTGATTTTAAGCCACCAGCGGGATGCCACTGTAGTTAGACACGCACACAGTCATCCCTCGTGAGCTGTCCAGCAGGCCACTGCTTTGCTCCCTTCTCGAGGAACTTATCCCTTCTGCTGTGTGGGTCTCCCCATTATTTAGAGTTGTTCAAGGTCATCCTTAACCAGAATATCAGTCCCTTTCCTAAAGAATGCACACACACACACACACGCACACACACACACACACACACACACACACACACACACGGGCAGCTCTTCCTACCAGTATCAGCCCTCTACAGAACACCAAGGAATCACAAGGCATGAGTCTCTATTCCCGTTGGATCCGAGAAGGGAATGGAAGGGAAGTCCCTATTTTAGCCATCACATGCCCCAGCTCATAAACCAATTATTCCAAGGAAATAGACTGTCAGTGAGTGATGCACCAGCCTGCTGTTCCCTGGGAAGGGTGAGAGGAGGAAGCCGGAGACAGTTTGCAGGTTTCTCCCTCATGCTTTCTATGTTTCCCACAGTAGTCATTTCCTTCCCCCCTCCGGAATACCTGTTCAGACCCAGAAGGAACAGCTGCTGCAAGACTCTAGGCTCTTTCTGGCCCAAAGTCTGCAGCCTCTGCCCATGGGATTCTTGGTTGTGCGTCAACCGGGGTGCCTCGGAGGCCCCTCCTGGCCCAGCCCCAGGCTAGGCGCTGTGCAGGCAGGACAAACCCTTTGGCAGCCCCCCTCCTCCAGGAGCATGGTCTTTTTTGTTAACTGAATGCGATCTTAGAAATAATCCACTTAATATCCCGTGTTCCCAACCCCCAAAGAGGATATGACTGTTCCAAGTTTACACAGCCACTTAAGCAGCAGGGCAGAGGCTAGAATTCAGGTCTTCCCCCTTTGGGTTAAGCTATTCTTTCATTTGTTCAGGGTGATCGTCTTTCATAGATGCTCTAGTGTCCACCGAAATACACTCTTTTTTTAAAAACAAATATTTATTCATTTATTTATTGTTAATTTTTTTAACTTTTTATTTTCATTTTTTGAGAGACAGAGAGAGACAGAGCACGATTGGGGAAGGGGCAGAGAAAGAGGGAGACACATAATCCAAAGCAGGCTCCAGGCTCCGAACTGTCAGCACAGAGCCTGACGTGGGGCTCGAACCCACGGACCGTGAGATCATGACCTGAGCGGAAGTTGGACGCTCAACCGACTGAGCCACCCAGACACCCCTAATGTTTATTTATTTTGAGACAGAGAGAGAGAGAGAGAGAGAGAGAGAGAGAGAGAGAGAGTATGTGTGTGCACACAAACAGGGGAGGGGCAGAGAGAAAGGAAAGAAAGAATCCCAAGCAGGCTCTGCACTGCATTTAAATGGGGCTCACAAACATGAACTGGAGAGATCATGAATTCGAGCTCAAATCAAGAGTTGATGCTTACCCAACTGAGGGGAAGGGCAGAGAGAAAGGAAAGAAAGAATCTCAAGCAGGCTCTGCACTGCAGAGCCTAATGTGGGGCTCGAACTCATGAACTGAGAGATCATGACCTGAGCCCAAATCAAGAGTTGGATGCTTACCCAACTGACCGGTGCAGGCACTCCTGAAAGACACTCTTTATACAGGCACACCACCAGTCCCTTCAAAAACCTGGTAATGGGAAGAATATCGCCTGTAGAATTATCTTTTATTTATATCTACATGAACATTATTGAAAACCTATCATGTACAACAGTAGAAATTGTATAATTTAACAAAATCTCTGCTGCACAGGTTATTTCGTTTGCTCCTCAGAAAAATGGTCAAGTAGTATCACAAATGAGGAAACTGAGGTCTATGTGACTTAAGTAACTTTGCCAAAGTATAAGGGCCTGTCCCGTGTTTGATGACCCTTTTCGTTCTATCCCCAGTATAGCATGGGGTGAATAATTGAATGGCTTAAAATTCCTTATGCCTAAAGGGAGACCTTGCAGCCCAAGACACAAACAAGAACCCCTCTCCAGTTGGTAGAAATCCTACGACGCTGCCTCCAGACTGAATCTCCTCTGTCTAAAGAGCAGGATCCCTATACAATGGTATGGTCCGCAGGGACATTAAAATGATCAGAAAATGAGTGCCCGAAATCAGCTTTCCCAGTTGCCCCTGGATCTCTCAGCAGAAGGGTAGATGGGTGGCTACAATATAGTGTGATAAAGGCTACGGATCCTTCTCTCTGGTTTCGCAGGAGCCAACGTGGGATTTGTGAGTCAGTTGGTGAGATGCTTTTGTTTGAGGCGTATGTTAGGTTCCTGAACCCCACATCTGTACCTCTCTGAGGCCTTGTGCCCTAGGGCTGGTGGTTGGGTGCGGGCTCGTATAGGGACTCTGCCGTACTTCTGCTGTCACTCACCCCGATTCCCTCCCTTCCCTCCAGCCCGTCCCCATTGATGACAACTTCTGTGGACTGGACATCAACCAGCCTCTCGGAGGCTCGACTCCAGTGGAGGGACTGACCCTGTATACCACCAGCCGGGACCGCATGACCTCAGTGGCCTCCTACGTTTACAATGGCTACAGCGTGGTTTTTGTGGGGACGAAGAGTGGCAAGCTGAAAAAGGTAAGAGTCTGTGAACCCAGACACCGCAATGCCGTTCAGCTCCTTAGCGGAGAGCGCCTTCTGGAAGCTTGCTGTTGGTGGACATTTGACACAGGCAACTCTTCCCTTTCTTGGGCAGGGGGGTTAGCATGGGGGTGGGTAGGTAGGGGTTAATTTTGTGGCTTCTCTTCTAGCTGCTTCTCCCAGTCATTAGTGAGTGAGTGTCTAGGGAGCGTGAGCATATTTCAGTACTGCCCAAACTTCACGGGATTAGGAAGGTACATCACCCAAAGGGAGGGAAATAGAATCATCCTTTATCTCCAAATCAAGTAGAACCGATGCTTTGACCATCTGTATTTTGAATCGCCCACCTCACGCATCCCTTCCCACGGTTTATAGAGTTGATTGTACTGGTCAGAAGTCTTTGTTGCATCCTGGTTGAAGCAGGTCATGGGTCCCACATCCAAGGACCCAGGCAAAGGATCGTGCTGCTTTGATGAGGGCCTGGGGTGGCTGGGTGACTTACCGCTCTCCTGCCTTTCCTCTTCCCACGATCACAGACTCTTCCCCGCCCTTCCACTCCCCGCTCCGGGCTTGAGCTGCCAGGAGGAAGTCGACGTCTTATCTCATGCCTGCCCTGGGCCCCTCTGCCAGCTGGAGGGCACTGGCTGGCTGGGGCCGGCAGCACGGAAGGCTGAAACCAGCAGCTTGTGCCTGCTTGTCTAGTGCTTAGGGTGCAGAGACGAAGCACCGTCTGGTTCATTATGTGGGATTACAGCAGCCACATTCTTTCCGGTCCCAGCTAATCCCCTTTTCCCAAGCTTACCCTTCTGCCACCTTTCCCCAGTCCCGCCACCTGTGGGTGCAAGACCTCACCGCATCGCACGCTTTGATGTTGACGTCACCCCTGCGGCCCTTTCCCCCTAATCCATTTAGAGCCTAGGGAGAGAGATGTCTTTGGGGAATGTGGAAGGAGGGTGGCAGGGAGGGAACCTGAGGAAGAATTTCCGCCTTCTGCTTGTGCTGAGCTCAGAGGAGGTGAGAAGAACAGGTCTAGGTTTGTGTGGAGGTGCTGAACTTTCCAGACCTCTTCTGGTTCGCCTGATACTGAGGCCCGTTAACCCTTTTCTCGCTCTGTGGAGAGGCTGTCACTTGTTTCTGTCCTGTGCCCCTACTCTGCCTGGGACTGTGGACCTTGGCTTGCCCTCTAGGCACAGGGAAGAGAGTAGGGGTGTGGTTCCCCCCCCTTGCCGTCCCAGAATGGGGGGAGCGGGGAGTTGCCTGAGGAGGCTCTACCGAGATTTAAAAGTGGCATATTCCATTGGGCAGCGTTGACTGTGGACCTCTAAGGCTGGCGACTCCCCTGCAGGGTCATCTACCTGTTCAGCCAGGTGGAGAGTACCTTGCTTGGGAGCGTGGGGCCAAGGAGCCTACAGGGAGTTGAAATGCAGCCTGAAGTCTCTCTGTCAAGCCGTGCACCCTCAGGTCTAAAGATCCACCCAGAGGAGCTCCTCTTACAAAGTCATCTGCCCACAGAGACCGCCTTTTTCTAAATCGCACAAAGGTTTCCTGGGGGCCAGCGGCACCCACACGCAGGCTGGTGTTCCGTTTCCTCCCCTGTTCTTCCGGTGCCTTCCCTCCCTGTTCTGGATCGTTTGTGTGACTGTTGGTCTCCTTTATTCTCTTGAAAGTTCTGTGCAAGCCAGGGGTCATGCTCTATTCGTGTTTATTTACCTCCTTCTGCCCGGTTCTTGCACCAAGTGTTTACACAGGGGAGAGGCCCTGAAAGTGCTTTTGAAAAATAGAACCATTCTAAGACATCTGGGATATCATCCGGCCCAGTACGCACATAGCTCGGCAGAAACACTGAGGCCCAGAGATAACCAGTGAGTTGCCCAAGCATAGAGACCAGGACAAGTTGCTTCTTGCCCTGACACTCCATTTGGCACCCCCTTTTACTTAAAGAAGCAGCCACAGAGCACGGGAAGGGAGGATGAGAACAACCCTCAGGCCCAGGCTTGTTGAGGAGGGTCAGCCAGGGACCAGTGCTTCCATTCTCGACGGTCCCGGGTCAGAGTTAAGGAATGGACATTTGCCGAACGGGCGGACGAGGGCCGAATGAAGCAAGAACGATCCAGCCAGACGCAAAGCAATCCTTGTGCCGACCTTCCCCTATCTCTGTACGTCTTGTGCAGCACACACAGGGGGCTGCTTGGGGCAGCTTTCCAAGCCACACACCCAAGTTAGCCAAGTTCTCTTGGCCTTGTTGGAATCTCGGCAGACGAGTCGCCACGGAGGCAAGTCAGCGGGTTCAAGGGCAAGGCTAGGGGCGTGGCTGCCCACGGCTTGTCCCAACCTGCAAGTTGGCTGCTCCTCTCAGCCTTCACTTGGCCTTTCTTTGGCTGTTTCTATGAGCTCATAACACCCCTCCTTCTCCTGTGCAGCCCGCCCTTCCTTTCCACCCACACTCCTTTGAGGCACCTGATACTTACACCCTGGCTCCCACTGGCCTCCCATTTACCCACCCACTTGCCCTCACTCTCTCCAGAGCAACAGCCCATGAGGAATTTGTGGAATGTCCCCAGGAAACTCTACCATGGCCCAAACCCCATAGCTCTTTCAACACAGGAAGGAAAATAAAGAAAAAAAGAAACGAGCTAAGAGCGTGGAGAGGGGAGGGAAGCAGGGTGCGTCAGAACCGCTCACTTCTTCCCTGCCTGACCAGGCATCTGTCAGACCGTCGGACTGCCCTCATCCAGTGCAGCCATAGGAACAGGATGTCCCTGTGTGGGGACGTGTGGAGGAAGTGGAGACTCACTAGAAGGGGCATGACCATGAGGTGCTCTTATGTGCTGTCACATGCTTGCTCATGTACTGTCCTCCGCTAGACTCGGAGCATCCCAGACTAGGCCCCTGCCTTCTGAGTCACAAGCACGTGGACAGAACAGGCAGAATAAGGAGGAGACCTCAAAACCAAGGTGTGCAATACCGGCCTAGGCTAAGGGTCAGTGCATCACAGGTGATAAGACAGGCTGTGACTCACCCCAGGGATGGAACAATAGCAGAGAAACCAACCACGGAAGTGTGACCCACCTTGAAGCCTTTACTGAAGAGGAGGAATAGCAGAATTTGCTTCAAGACCGAAGGGGACAGAAAACGAATGAATTGACTAATGGGTGAGAGAGAAGGGCATGCTAGACCTGGGGTGCCGCCCCGAGAAGGTGCAAAACGGTGCATGGAAGGTCTAGAGGGCACAGAGGGGTTTGGGAGATTGGTGAGGGGAAAGTCAAGGCAGAGCGCTGTGAGCGTCTGGCCCTGAGAAGACCAAGTGAAAAGGATCTTGGGAGTTTTGCTGACTCCAAGGTCAAGGGAGCCAACCGTGTGATGCAGCTTTCCTGATGTTAATTAGTCTTCACCGCGCTAACGGGAGAAGAATTTCCAGGTCATGAGACATGCTGGACTTAGCCTATGCGAAGAATATTCTTAAGAGGATAATAACTCAAGGAAAGAAGAGTGAAAGAGGAAGCAAAACAGCTTTCTTCAGATAATATAATTTACTGAGCACTTATGTGTCAGGTGTTATTCTGAGAGTTTTATATCTATTAACTCACTTAATGTTGACATGACTCTATGAGGTAGGTGCTGTTATCACCTCCATTTTACAGATGAAGAAATAGAGTCCAAGCAAGGTAAAGGCATTCATCTGAGGCCCCAGAGCTAGTAAATGGCAGAGCCGGGATTCGAACCTTCATCTGGTTTCCCAGTTTGCGTGCTTAGCCATTAAGCTGTGGAAAGTGAATTAGACTGACTTGGTGTGGCTCCAGAGGGCAGAATAGAACCAACGGGCAGGAGTTATAATAAAGCACATTTGCACTTATTATAAAGAGGAAGTTTCTGGTAGCCAAAACTGTCCCAGCATGGAAAGAATTGACTCAAGAGGGAATGAGCTCCTAGTCAGTGGAGATATATATTTTTTTAATGTTTTATTTATTTTCAAGAGAGAGAGAGAGAGGCAGAGCACAAGCCGGGGAGGGGCAGAGAGAGAGAGAGACACAGAATCCGAAGCAGGCTCCAGGCTCCGAGCTGCCAGCACAGAGCCCGACGCGGGGTTCGAACCCACGCACCGTGAGATCGTGACCCGAGCCGAAGTCGGTTGCTTAACCAACCAACCAACCAACCAACCAGGCGCCCCAGGCAGTGGAAATATTTAAGCAGAGGCTGGACAGCCACCGACCAGGGATGCTGTAGAGGGGCTCCTGCACCCACCACGTGATCTTTATGCCACGACTATTCCACGGACTCCCTCAGTAGAAGGGCAGGCTGTGGCAGAGAGGAAGCACAAGGAGAGGGAAGCCAAGGCACCCTGGGTGTGGGCTTTGAAGTCACAGGTTGGGTTCAGCTTGCTCCCAGAATGTAGCAGAAAGCCCTCAGCATCCAGGAAGAGGTGCTGGGCATAGACAGGGCAGGGCAGGCCTGGGGCGAGATGTAGGGGAGGGGAAGGCAGGAATGTTCTGCGGGGCGGGGGTTGGGGAGATGGGGGACACAGCGGACTGTGATGACACCTCCACCCCCAGGCTAAGGGCAGGCTGAGAGTCTAGACTGAGAAGGGAGGCAGGGAGCTAATGTCGAAGCAGATGCAAGAGGCATAGCGGCCCCAGAAGTGCAAACTCATTGATTAGGACTTCCCAGCTGGAAGGGAGGAGCCCAGGAGGCGGTTCGAGCCTAAGTCCTGGGGCATAGGAGGGCAGGAGGTAGGCTGAGGAGACCAAAGCTACCAGGACGTGGGAGGGAGGACTCTCTCCAGGTTCAGAGCAGAGTCCTGGTTCCTTGGCTCCCTGCCTCAGTCCCAGCTTTATGTCCCTGCGCGCCTCCCTTAGCCCCTCAGCCCCGGGGCCTTACACGGCAGCGGGCATCGTTGGCTGTCTGTTCTCTGTCCCCACTGGAAAGCTCCCCTGCTGCTCAGGGGCTGGTGAAATGTCCTTTACCCTGCCCCTTCAAGCACTGTGGATAGCACCCTCCTC